TTCTAGACCAAACCTACTTCCTGCAATGCTCACGGTGTCTAGTCTTCTAGACCAAACCTACATCCTGCCATGTTCACGGTGTCTAGTCTTCTAGACCAAACCTACTTTCTGTCATGCTCACGGTGTCTAGTCTTCTAGACCAAACCTACTTCCTGCCATGCTCACGGTGTCTAGTCTTCTATACCAAACCTACTTCCTGCCATGTTCACGGTGTCTAGTCTTCTAGACCAAACCTACTTCCTGCCATGCTCACGGTGTCTAGTCTTCTAGACCAAACCTACTTCCTGCCATGTTCACGGTGTCTAGTCTTCTAGACCAAACCTACTTCCTGCCATGCTCACGGTGTCTAGTCTTCTAGACCCAGCCTACTTCCTGCCATGTTCACGATGTCTAGTCTTCTAGACCCACCCTACTTCCTGCCATGTTCACGGTGTCTAGTCTTCTAGACTCGGCCTACTTCCTGTCATGTTCACAGTGTCTAGTCTTCTAGACCCAGCCTACTTCCTGCCATGTTCACGGTGTCTAGTCTTCTAGACCCACCCTACTTCCTGCCATGTTCACGGTGTCTAGTCTTCTAGACCAAACCTACTTCCTGCCATGTTCACGGTGTCTAGTCTTCTAGACCAAACCTACTTCCTGTCATGTTCACTGTGTCTAGTCTTCTAGACACTAGTCCTACTTCCTGTCATGTTCACAGTGTCTAGTCTTCTAGACCCAGCCTACTTCCTGCCATGTTCACGGTGTCTAGTCTTCTAGACCAAACCTACTTCTGCCCATGCTCACGGTGTCTAGTCTTCTAGACCAAACCTACTTCCTGCCATGTTCACGGTGTCTAGTCTTCTAGACCAAACCTACTTCCTGCCATGCTCACGGTGTCTAGTCTTCTAGACCAAACCGACTTCCTGCCATGTTCACGGTGTCTAGTCTTCTAGACCAAACCTACTTCCTGCCATGTTCACGGTGTCTAGTCTTCTAGACCCAGTCTACTTCCTGCCATGTTCACGGTGTCTAGTCTTCTAGACCCAGTCTACTTCCTGCCATGTTCACGGTGTCTAGTCTTCTAGACCAAACCTACTTCCTGCCATGCTCACGGTGTCTAGTCTTCTAGACCAAACCTACTTCCTGCCATGCTCACGGTGTCTAGTCTTCTAGACCAAACCTACTTCCTGCCATGCTCACGGTGTCTAGTCTTCTATACCAAACCTACTTCCTGCCATGTTCACGGTGTCTAGTCTTCTAAACCAAACCTACTTCCTGCCATGCTCACGGTGTCTAGTCTTCTAGACCAAACCTACTTCCTGCCATGTTCACGGTGTCTAGTCTTCTAGACCAAACCTACTTCCTGCCATGCTCACGGTGTCTAGTCTTCTAGACCCACCCTACTTCCTGCCATGTTCACGGTGTCTAGTCTTCTAGACCCAGCCTACTTCCTGCCATGTTCACGGTGTCTAGTCTTCTAGACCCAGCCTACTCCCTGCCATGTTTACTGTGTCTAGTCTTCTAGACCCACCCTACTTCCTGCCATGTTCACGGTGTCTAGTCTTCTAGACCCAGCCTACTCCCTGCCATGTTTACTGTGTCTAGTAAGTACACTGGTCATTCACATTCTTTAGTTTGCTCCGTCACGCTTTTACAAGCTGTGTCGGCGCTTTTGGCTCAGGAACTGCTAACACGCATCGTACCGGGTTCAATCCCAGCAGCAGGCGGTTTGGCAATATACCGCTTTGCTTTGGTTTCGACAGTGTTATCGAGACCCGACCGTTGAGTAAGCAGTGGCAAACTGCTGAACATAAATTTGCCTAGAAAAACCACAACAGCCAAGCGATGTTGGAGTTGGTTCTGCAACGTTTTGTAAGAGACACACAACTTAAGCAACTTCTTTCTATAAGTGCCAATCAGTACATTGTCTACTTGCCTCAAATTCAAGCGATTACCCGTTCCTAGCCTGGACTTCAAGTGACCTTATTACGGTCGGTGGTCGCAGTTTATATAACCTTACGGTTGAATGGGGCGGGGCGATCCGAGTTTTGTACATATATGATTGTCATCTTTGATGTTTCCGTCCCGCGGACTGTATGTGCTATCTGGCTGCTGTTAAATGTGCGTACTGTCTGAGATGTGTAGAAGAACAACATACCCTTGACTGAGATGTGTCAGAAAAACAACATAACCCGGTCTGAGATGTGAAGAAGAACAACATAACCTTTTCCCAAGATATGTCAGAAGAACAACAAATCTCTGTCTGAGATGTGTAGAAGAACAACATAACCCAGTCTGAGATGCGTAGAAGAACAAAACAACCCAGTCTGAAATTGTGTAGAAGAAAATAATTCAGTATGAGACATTTTAAAGAATAACATCACCCAGACTGAGATGTTTAGAAGAACAACAAAATCCTGTCTGAGATGTGTAGAAGAACAAGATAAACAGTCTGAGACACGTGGAAGAAAGCAACCATGTTTGCGATATGGACAGGAACAACATAACGTTGCATAAAATATATAAAAGAACAACATAACCCTGTCTGAGAAATGCAAAAGAACAACAAGACCCAGTCTGATATAGTTATAAGAACAAAATAACCCTGTCTGAGATATATAGAATAACAACATAGCCCTGTCCGATACATGTAGAATAACAACATAACCTTGTCTGAGATATGTAGAAGAACAACATAACCTTGTCTGAGATGTGTAGAAGAACAACATAACCCAGTCTGAGATGTGTAGAAGAACAACATAACGCAGTCTGAGATGTGTAGAAGAACAACATAACCCAGTCTGAGATGTGTAGAAGAACAACATAACCTTGTCGGAGATGTGTAGAAGAACAACATAACCCAGTCTGAGATGTGTAGAAAAACAACATAACTCTGTCTAAGATGTGAAGAAGAACAACATAACCTTTTCCCAAGATATGTCAGAAGAACAACAAAACTCTGTCTGAGATGTGTAGAAGAACAACAAAACACTGTCTGAGATGTGTAGAAGAACAACATAACCCTGTCTGAGATGTGTAGAAGAACAACATAACACAGTCTGAGATGTGTAGAAGAACAAAATAAACCAGTCTGAGATGCGTAGAAGAACAAAACAACCCAGTCTGAGATGTGTAGAAGAACAACATAACCCAGTCTGAGATGTGTAGAAGAACATCATAACCCAGTCTGAGATGTGTAGAAGAACATCATAACCCAGTCTGAGATGTGTAGAAGAACATCATAACCCAGTCTGAGATGTGTAGAAGAAAATAATTCAGTATGAGACATTTTAAAGAATAACATCACCCAGACTGAGTTGTTTAGAAGAACAACATAATCCTGTCTGAGATGTGTAGAAGAACAAGATAAACAGTCTGAGATGTGTAGAAGAACAACATAACCTTGTCCGAGATGTGTAGAAGAACAACATAACCCAGTCTGAGATATGTAGAAGAACAACATAACCTTGTCCGAGATGTGTAGAAGAACAACATAACCCTGTCTGAGATGTGTAGAAGAACAACATAACCCTGTCTGAGATGTGTAGAAGAACAATATAACCTTGTCCGAGATGTGTAGAAGAACAACATAACCCAGTCTGAGATATGTAGAAGAACAACATAACCTTGTCCGAGATGTGTAGAAGAACAACATAACCCTGTCTGAGATGTGTAGAAGGACAGCATAACCCTGTCTGAGACATGTAGAAGAACAACATAACCTTGTCCGAGATGTGTAGAAGAACAACATAACCCTGTCTGAGATATGTAGAAGAACAACATAACCCAGTCTGAGATATGTAGAAGAACAACATAACCCTGTCTGAGATATGTAGAAGAACAACATAACCTTGTCCGAGACGTGTAGAAGAACAACATAACCTTGTCCGAGATGTGTAGAAGAACAACCTAACCCTTTCTGAGATGTCTAGAAGAACAACATAACCTTGTCTGAGATGTGTAGAAGAACAACATAACCCTGTCCGAGATGTGTAGAAGAACAACATAAACCTGTCTGACATATTGTCACTGCACGACTGGGCCTATTGTGCGGGACAGCCGCCATTGAGCCTGAAAACGAGCAGTCAGTCAGGTGCCATCTTCACAATAGAGGTGGCTGCAATCGATCTTCAATACACTGTTTATTTTTTTGGCTCTTCTCTCTCTCAGATCTGCTGTTCGTTTATCTCTTGATGCTGTCCTCCAACTTGGATCGTTGTCTACCACTTGCTCTCTTACTTTCGACGTTTCCTTCCAGTATAGTTTTCAAAAGAGTGCTGTCTTGTAAAATGACCACTAGGTACCATTCATTGGACGTGAATCACAGGCTAATAATCTTATCTCGTCTGCTCCAATATTAACTTCCTTAAAAAACCCAACTGGCGCTGGCGGGAATGATGAAACTGCACAGATAGCCAATTAGCAGTGAAATCAATGACCTCTGCTCTCAACCTGACCCGCCGATATTGCCTTCGACCAATGATCGATCTGTGTTCCGTTAGGTATAGTCTCGGTATCGGTGGCGCTGTGGTCTGCCCGAGGGAAGCTCGAGGGTCCCAGCGGGAAGAGGCAAATTTGTTTCCAATACAGAATGAGCAAGGAAGGAAATAAATCACCCAAATATTAAAGTGAAACTCAATTGCATGCGGACCATTCTTAATGTAAATTGCTGCTTTTTGTGTTCTTCTTGTTATTTTCACTGAACGCCGTCTTGAGACAATGATCCATTTGTTTCTCTGCGGCTCAATGGAAACGAGAGAATAGTGGTCGGAAATGGTAGAGGTGGGAAGGATTACTGTGGGAGAGGCTAATCGTGGAAAAATGTTCCGGATTGTTCAGTAGCTTAATGAGAGACACATGGGGTCACAAACAAACTATGTATTGATGGACTCACACACATACATACCATCGCTCCCATTCATCTCCAGCAGTCACACACAAACACACACAGACATGCACACACTCACACAAGCACTTCTATTGTTTGTGGCATCATTTGGCATGTTTACTTTCTTCAACAGAGTACCTGGACACCACAGAAGTGTTCGAGGCTGAGCAGGAAAATAAGGAGAACTTCAAGTTGCTTCGAGTGGACGGAAACCGTGTCTTTATTGGATCAAAGTCAGTGGATCTCCCTGTCTGTCTGTCGGTCGGCCTGCCTGTCTGTCTGTCTGTCTGTCTGTCTGTCTGTCTGTCTGTCTGTCTGTCTGTCTGTCTGTCTGTCTGTCTGTCTGTCTGTCTGTCTGTCTGTCTGTCTGTCTGTCTGTCTGTCTGTCTGTCTGTCTGTCTGTCTGTCTGTCTGTCTGTCTGTCTGTCTGTCTGTCTGTCTGTCTGTCTGTCTGTCTGTCTGTCTGTCTGTCTGTCTGTCTGTCTGTCTGTCTCTATGTTTGTGATTAACTTTCTGCCAGCTATTTACATTGTGGTCTGCTGGCATTTATAATTATCTGCGTGACTTTATGACTAGTTTTACCGTCTACGGGGGAGTAGTAGTAGTAGTAGAAATAGTAGTAGCAGCAGCAACATTAGCAATAGCAGCAGCAACATTAGCAATAGCAGCAGCAACGTTAGCAATAGCAGCAGCAACATTAGCAATAGCACCAGCAACATTAGCAATAGCAGCAGCAACGTTAGCAATAGCAGCAGCAACGTTAGCAATAGCAGCAGCAACATTAGCAATAGCAGCAGCAACGTTAGCAATAGCACCAGCAACGTTAGCAATAGCACCAGCGTCAGTAGTAATAGCAGCAGTAGTAGTAGTAGCAAAAGTAATAGCTGTAGTAGCATCAGCATTTGCTGTAGTAGCAATAGTAGTAGTAGTAGTAGTAGTAGTAGTAGTAGTAGTAGTAGTAGTAGTAGTAGTAGCAGTAGTAGTAGTAGTAGTAGTAGTAGTAGTAGTAGTAGTAGCAGTAGTAGCAGTAGTAGCAGTAGTAGCAGCAATTGTTGTATTAGCAATATTAGTAGCAAGAGTAGTAGTAGTAGTAGCAGTAATAGTAGCAGCAGCATCAATATTAGCTGTACTAGTACTAGAAGTAACATTAGTAGTAATAGTAGTAATAGTATTAATAGTTGTTCTCCTGGTGGTAGTGGCAGAGACAACAAATATAAAATGTGTATGTCGTTACAATATCTCCGTTCAAAAGAATCAACCAGCCAGAAAGCAAACTACTACTGTCTTTGGTTTTGAGCGTCCCTGAATTTTGCCCTTGTCTGTATAGACTGGATTTGTTTGTAATACTTTTTACCACACTAGGACATCACAAAAGGGATCAACAACCGATGACACAAAGTGCCACCACGTGGACGAGGATCACCCGTGGAAATGTCCCAGAAACAGCGTTCAGCCATTAGACCATATTTGTCGCTGGGTTATTTTGCGACCCCTGGCAAGAGCCAGGGTGGGGCTTCAAACAACGAAAAATTGCATCCCACAAGGCGGTAGCTAGTGTGTCTGTTATGTACTGGGTTTTTTTGATAACCGACAACATTACAGGAAATATTGTCAGAAAATTTAGTGGCAACGTGGAGACTTATCTCATTAAACTACAAGTCATTAAGGCGCTCTTCCTTCGTCATAGGATGTCAACTGGGCAAAGATGTGATTTCAGTGATGTTCAGTATTGAGATGAGGTTGTCAAAACTGATAGGAGAAACGTTAAACAGAGAGAAGAACAGTCAAATTTGACGAGAGAAAATCCAGAAGGGAGCTAATCAATATTATAAATAGGTTAAGTAAAAGACCCTTTTCCCACGCCTTCTGGAGAATTGAGCTGATATCGCTAGACCCATACTTTATAGATCAATCAGCACTCGGTGGGTAATGTGGTCAAATCACGCTGGCCGCCTTTACTTCCCAGGACTTGACCTTGTCGCCACTCAAGGCTGTGTCGACCTGAGAGACAAGCATGTGTTTTTGAATAAGAGCGGTTCCTTTCGGACGTGAACTCACGATTTTAGATCCGCAAGCTTACGGCTGGTCCCTACACCAAAGTAGCTCCCTGTAATCAATAATAATAAAAGAAAAGGAGGAGGAGAACAAGAAGGAGGAGAACAAGAAGGAGGAGAACAAGAAGGAGGAGAACAAGAAGGAGGAGAACAAGAAGGAGGATACAAGAAAGAGGAGAATAAGAAAAAAATATTTGTTAATAATGCTTATTATAAGTCATTATTAAGTCTTGTAACTCCTCGTGTGTGTTCCTGGGCCCTATTGTAGGAAAAACAAGATTAGACCCATTGCCTTCCTAACAAGCATGTAGTAGGAGTCGACTAACTGGGAGCTTTATGTGAAGCCAGAGTGCATCTGTCTGAGCAGCAAGGCACAACCAGCTGCACACAAATAGGCCAGTAAAACGGATGTACACGCAAACCTCAGGCCCTGGCACAAAGCTAAAGTCCATATGGACGAACAGCCAGGACCTTTCCCCGGAGCTTACAGCCAGTCAACAACGTAGAAGAAAAAGAAGCAGAAGAAGAAGAAGAAGAAGAAGAAGAAGAAGAAGAAGAAGAAGAAGAAGAAGAAGAAGAAGAAGAAGAAGAAGAAGAAGAAGAAGAAGAAGAAGAAGAAGAAGAAGAAGAAGAAGAAGAAAAAGAAGCTTTTAAATTCTACCACCTACCCAACCCACCACACATGGCCGATTGACAAGCTGGTTTCACCATCGGATCTGCTCCTCCAGTTTTTATATTCTTGTGACTGGAGGAACCGCCAACTTGAGGACAGTCCTACCGGCAAAATGCCAGATACCCTGTTCAGTCTCACTTGAGATAAAACCAGGGCAGCCTTGTGACTGACTGACTGACTTTCTACCCCACCAGGACATCACACAAGCGATAAACACTCGATGACACAAAGTGCCACCATGTGGATGAGGATCACCGTGGAGAGGTCCCAGAAACCACTTTCAGACAATTGGCCATATTTATGGCGTGCCTATATTGCGGCCCCTGGCAAAAGCCAGAGTGGGGCTTAAAATAATAAAAAATTACGTCCTAAGAAGGACGTAAGGATGACAGGCAGCCTTGTGCAAGCAGACTCGTCTTATATTCGGCCATTTTGAATGTGGGATTGCCCAGCATTGCATCATTATCAAGTGCCGCCTGGTGAATATTATATAGACATCTCATCCTATCTCTCTAACATAGTGATAGGCAAGTAACCGGGTTGTAACATTAGTTATTTCCCCTTGTAATTAAGACTAATGCTTGAATTATCTCCACTTGTGTGTTCCCTTCACAGGAATCGACTATATCATTTGAAATTTGGTTTGTTTCAAATAATCTCGGTGAGTATAATTTGGACTTCACCATTTAAATTGTATAGTTTCATTCATCTATTTTGTGAGAACCTTTCAGCCATATACTTTTTTGTGTTTTATATATGTTTATTACCTAACATGTCGATATCTATAATCCTAGAAATATCCAGTTACCCACAGTATCGATGTCTGCAATGCCAAAATATCCAGTAACTGTGTAATCCTAAAAGTGTCCAGTTAACTACGAAATCAATTTAATCCTAGAAATGTCAGGTTACCTTCAGTATCCATGTCTGTAATCCGGAAAATGTCAGGTCACCTTCGGTATCCATGCCTTTAATCCGGAAAATGTCAGGTTACCTTCAGTTTCCATGTCTTTAATCCGGAAAATGTCAGGTTACCTTCAGTATCCATGTCTGTAATCCGGAAAATGTCAGGTTACCTTCTGTATCCATGTCTGTAATCCTTGCACTATCCAGTTAACTACAGTATCCATGGTATCCATGTCTGTGATCCTAGCACTATCTAAAAAACTACAGTATCTATGTCTGTAATCCTAAAACTGTTCAGTTAACTACAGTATCTATGTCTGTAATTCTAGAAATGCCCAGTTAACTACAGAATCTATATCTGTAATTCTAGTTAACTACACTATCGATGTCTGCAATCCTGGAAATGTCCAGTTAATTATAGAATCAATGTCTGCAATCCTAAGAATATCCAGTTAACTACAGTATCTATGTCTGTATCCTCCAAAAATCTAGTTAACTACATTATACATGTCTGTAATCCAAACGCCTGCCCTATATGGTGTCTTGTACGTTCTCCAGGAATTAAAATGGCTACCAACAGACGAAGCAGTAGCCGCGTGTTTTGGGCGCGGGAAGGTAAGGCTGTCACACATGTCTGTGCTGTATGTGTTAGCGATGTCACATATTGTCACATATGTCTATGCTGTATGTGTTAGCGATGTCACATATTGTCACACATGTCTATGCTGTATGTGTTTGCGATGTGACAAAGTATCTCTCAAACATGCCTAATCTTTTTCTTAGCAACAATAAACACCTGGACCAGAACGTTAACCCAAATATTGGAGTCGGGTGGCCATTTCCCCGCTACACAAGGTGGCTACCGACCAGGAAGAGATACATGGTGCAATGCTGCTGTATTTGCCTACGACACATACGAAGGTTTACAGGAGGGAATAGAAACGGCTGCAGCCGCTATTGACTTAGAAGATGCGTACAACAGCGTCCCATACAACATGCTCATCAGACTGCTGTTGGATATGCAGATAGAAACAAATTTGGTCAACTGGATCGCAGCAGCGCTATTTGAAAGAACAGTGTCGCTTCGATGTGGTGAATGGGCATCCGAACCTCAACGCGTCCTAATGGGTCTGCCGCAGGGATCACCATTGTCGCCTGTGCTCTTCAATGTGTACACAGCAGGAGTCACTAGTGCACAACGCGTAGGCCTAGGCAGAACAATGTCGTATGCAGATGATATCCTTGTGTACCGTCGAGGTAAAAACAGGCAGGAAATTACAACCACACTACAACACGAACTAGACAGACTTAGTGAGTGGTGCCAGGAATCAAGAGCTCATGTGAACCCGTCCAAAGCCTCCTTAACATGGTTCTCTCTGAATACCCACATCGTGAGTACACCAACGCCAGTCGTAAGCATCTGTGGTGTGGACATCGAGAGAACGGACACCATGAAATACCTGGGCATGACATTTGACAGATGCTTGTCATACAAATGCCACGTAGACAACGTCATACTTAGAGCCAGGAAAGGTTTGACAGCACTCAAGGTGCTAGCAGCAGCTGATATTGAACAACGTCTACTTTTCCTTCTCTATCAAGGGCTTGTGCTTAGCGTCATTGACTATGGTCTCGGCCTCCTCACTGTCAGCAAAACCCAGCTAGAAAGACTGGACCGAGTACAGAATGAGGCCATGAGACTCATACTCGGCTGCACAAAAGACACCTCCTGCAACGCCATGCGTTATATCCTGGGTCTGCCGACTATGACAAGCAGATACAAAGTGGCACAGGTCAAGGCTTACATGAGGGTATCGGCAGATGTTAACCACCCATTACACAAAGCTATTCACGACACAAAAGGAACGCGTCTCAAAAGGGGCCGCTCTTGGATGGCAAAGGCTGAGGACTTAATCCAGCAGGTATGTGACCTAGACGTGATCAGCCACGGAAAAGAATGGACGAATACACCAGTAGACATGCATGGCATTTCTAAGTTGTCATCACACTCGGAAGGTACTGCAGGGATCAAATTCCCGCGGCGGTAGACACAGAAGTAAGGGAACTGATAGATCAGCATTCAGACCCAGAAGATACCATCATCTACACAGATGGATCTGTGAAGCGCGGATCAAGGTCAGCATGGGCATACACAGCGCAAAGAAAGGGGAAAACAATACATGAGGACAGCGGCGCTTACCAGACAACCACGTCAAGCATGACAATGGAAATAGCCGCTGCTTCTAGAGCTTTAGCATGGGTATCCGAGCAAACCGCCACACAGGTAGTAATTGTCTCAGACTCAATGAATATGCTTCAGAAGATAGCAACAGGCAGTATGCGCTCTGAATGGATAGAAAGCATCAGGAAATCGCACTTAACCTCCGTAACCTGGATCTACACACCGGGTCATGCGGGCGTGAAGGGAAATGAGCGAGCAGACCAACTGGCAAGCACTGCACTAATGATTGCAGGAAAAAGTATGGACAGAGCAGACATAGTCAACGCTGTACGAACCGGGCTAGTGGAGAATGAGGAATCCCTGACACTAACACGATTGCGTGACATGGGAGTTAAGCATGGTGATGCACGTCTTTGCCGTCTTCGAGGCCGAGAAAGGAGACAATATAACCAGCTTCTCATGGGGACAATTAGTAGAAGTACTTTAGAGTGGCTGCTGCTTCGGAGAACTGAGCACGCATGGGTATGCCCAATGTGCAGTGACATTAATTGTGATAACAGAACATAAAATAACATCTTAGTAGGGAGTCAGCAGTACGAAACCCAAGTTCAAGGTGTCTCCTTCGTGCCAAAGAACTGCATGGCTGTTGGGGTGAACAGTCGTTAACGAGGGCAGGCAGGTCGTTGTAGGGGCGACGCCTGCTGGTGGATGTAATGTCCTAAGTCCCTTCCCCAGCTAATAATGAGGGTACTGCTGGGGTGACCGTTTATTAACCCTCATATAATTCTTCCGGTCAAAATGGACGCTAGGTACGGCCACTTTTTTTTTTTTTTTTTTTTTTTTTTTTTTTTTTTTTAAAGCCGTGGCAAATATTTTTCCAGACGGTGGCCGTTGCATTTTTGCTTCATTTGTAGACTGGAAGGATGTAGTTTCGTCGCCCAGCTTCTGAGTTGAGTGCATGGCGTGACACTGTGAGCTGCGTTTGTTTTTCGTTGGCACAGGAGCGGAGCAAGTGTGGGGTGACCCGTTTGCTATGAAGCTGAAACTAGGATTACCAGATTACCAGACCTGGACCTGTTTTACATTTCCATTCCAAACTGACATAAAAGTCGGTCACGTTCAACATGCTTTGACCAGCTTCGATTATAATTACGGTCTGGTTTATTTGTGTCAAGTAAATTGGCTAGAATGTGTTATTTGTGCTCAAATCTAATGGCTTCAGCAGTTTGTATGCTATTATAGATGGCTGTGTGTCCCTGCCAGTGTGCTGTGTGTCCCTGCCAGTGTGCTGTGTGTCCCTGCCAGTGTGCTGTGTGTCCCTGCCAGTGTGCTGTGTGTCCCTGCCAGTGTGCTGTGTGTCCCTGCCAGTGTGCTGTGTGTCCCTGCCAGTGTGCTGTGTGTCCCTGCCAGTGTGCTGTGTTGTCCTTGCTTGCATGTCCTGTATTTTAGTCCACTGGGTTGAGTGGGTGTATTTCTGTCTGTCCAAGCTCCCCATGTAGGCTGCAATTATGGTATTTCAAGTGCGGGTTGGAATTCTCTCTTATGACATGCATAGTGTGTGTGTATCCTATCGTAATATCTTGGTACACATAAAATATCCCTTGGTAGTTGGAAATCGAGAAATGTAGCCTAACGGCGTTGCCCTGGCAAATTTTAAATTTAAAAATCTACCCAAAGTATTTCAGGATCCTGGCTACAGAGCCAGTGCACTGTGCTGGGCTTCTTCGGACTCAGACTTGAGTTAGAAGAAGAACGGAGCACTTATGGGTTAGCACCTGTGTGCCAGGATGTTGATCGGTTGTTCAAATTCTCAAAACCCATACTAATACTTTTATCGTCCATTCACGAACACACATCGCTAATTTATTCCGTGTTCATTTTTGCTAATTTATGATAGCTTCAGTAAGTACGGAAAATAAAAGACGATTTTCCGGGCATATGATGCTAAAATCATTTTTATAAGCCAATCAGGCGCTTGGTGGGTGATGCTGGGGCCCCTTAACGTCATTGTGGGCCCCTGGGCACACCAGTGTGCTGGGGCCTCTTAGCGTCATTGTGGGCCCCTGGGCACACCAGTGTGCTGGAACCTCTTAACATCATTGTGGGCCCCTGGGCACACCAGTGACCTGGGGCCCTCTGACAACCACTCTCAGGAATCAAATTTTCATTGATTGCTGGCCAGCTGGCATACACAGATTAGCCCAGAGTCGCTATACTTTCGGATTCCCTTGCTAGTGTCCAGCTTTAAGACGGCGCTGGAATAATGTGGTTTATACCGCGCCGGCTGCTTTTACTTCCAACGTTTGATTGAGTCGACTTGTGACAATACGCTCGGTGACTTCAGAATGTCTTTCCTTAACCTACTTTTATTCCTTTGTGTTTCGAAGTATACAGAGATAAATGGATTTGGGTACATCCTTAATCTAAGTAGGCGACCTGTACAAACATTTAATTTTCCTGGACTAAAACACGAAAACTTTTTCCCAGAGGTTAAGTGTTAACGTACAGAAATAAGACTGGCCAAGCGTAGACTTACTGTCTGCAGATTTGCACATCATCTGTTGGTGTCAGATATTTATCTCCTAGCCAGACCTTCAGGAGCAGATAACAAGGGTTAATTGCCATTATCTTCCCCTGAGGTTACCTAACTGGAGTGCTGGTGTCAATATTGACACAGGGAACCGAAAGTGTGGGCAGAAGAATTGACAAAGTCTGATTTTATTGTGATGACAGGTGAAGTAGACTGGAAGTGTGACTTGGCCTATTTGCTCTGGTCAGATGAATTGACCAGGAGATCCTAGCGTGGGAATTTAAACAAGTGTTGTACAGCCCTGACTGACAGCGAATAAACTTACCCACAGGGAGGAGCTGTGATATCCTTGAATAAGAATGATTTTGGGCGTAATGTAGGAGGAGCTTGATAAAAGTTATAAAAGGGGTGAACTCTAGGTCTGGTAAATGAGACTCTGTCCAGCACATGCCATCTGTTGGGCTTAACCTAAGCTTGAGACAGAACTTTTGGCTTTGTGGTTTCATTTTCCAGGTAAGAACGAAATTAGGTTCAAATCTATATTTTGTGATAGAAATCTAACTGTCTTTTTGCTCAAGTGTGTCTTCATCACTTTGTAGTACTCCTAGGCGGACATTTCTTCATTCTCGTAGGGCACTGTCACATTGCTTTATTTCCTATTTGATAGTGTCATTAATGTTCTTTCGTACACATGTGTTTCAATGTTGTAAAACTTAAATGTTGATGTTACCATTGAAATTTACTGAACGATCATGTTTTTGAAATCACAAGCGTGAAGATCACTTTGGCAATCTTTTCATGTGTGGTTAATGTTAATCTGTATTACATACAGCTAACACACTGAAATGTGTTTAACTCTCGGGAGGCTAATGCGGAGATTGATCCCGGAGAGTAAATCCATGAGATTTGTTATTTGATTCGCCCCAGAACTATTGTGAGCATTCTGGGCGCGTCCATTGTTCCAAGCATAGGTTCCAGAACTTGGTCTGTCTGATTGATTGTCATTTTGAGTCTGTACGAGAGATGGCACCTGACGTAGAAGACTTGACTATCATTACAGGACTTGTGTAGAGGAAGGCAGAAGATGTAACAGTTGGAATGTGAGACATAAGCCCTTCCAAATTGGACAGGAGTGAATGTGAAAATGAGTGAGGGATGAAATGTTTTACTTAAATAAACATGTTTGATGTTTTTATAATAAACATGCTTAGTGTACACCTAGAGCAGATACTACAGATATGCGCTTGTTTCTTTATCACAGTTCCCACTTTGGGCAGGGACTAGTAGGTATCCATTATTTGCCGACCGTCTGAGTGTAACGACCTGCATGAAAGCAGTGAAGACGACAAACTGGAAAAGATAGGCAGGGTCTCAAGCCGAGAACTGTCCAAAGCTTGTTACTTTGCAATACCTTTATGATTTCATTATTCACATCACATAAACTCTACTAGCCTAAACAAGTTCATTTTAATTTCGATTTATTCAAATAAATCATGTTTGATGTTGTTACAAAATAGTTGAGTAAATTGTGTACTTAGGTTCAAGTGTCTTTGTGCATATTAGTTTACTTCAGCTAACAAATATTTAAATCACTTGATGGGGGCTTTTAAGTAATGCCAGGAGAGGAGAACAGTCGGAGGTGTTAACTGTGTATCTGGATTATATAACAGTGGGTTTATCCTGATATCTATCTACCCCTTCTCCTACTCCTGTGGATACAAGTACAGCAACTTTCATTTAATGGAACGAGCCACTCGCTGTTTTCTTGGCTATCCAGGACTGTCTAGG